GGCTCAGTGGTTTAGACCACAGCGCCACCCACATCCCCACTCTTTACATAGTAAGTGACTAATAAATTATTTTTGGAGAATGGAAAATGGCACCTACCACCTTTGGAGGGATGTGTGTGACATCTTGTGTATATCGAATGCAATGTGCTCTAAGTGGGGCTACTTTTGAAGGTGACTCCAAAACGACAACTAATCCATAATGCAGTAGCCAGGCTGGTGACTGGGAGTGGCTGCTGGGACCATGTAACACTGGTCCTGAAAAACCTACATTGGCTCCCAGTATGTTTCCAAGAACAATTCAGTGTTGGTTTGACCTTTAAAGTCCTAAACCGCCTCAGCCCAGTATGCCTGAAGGAGCGTCTCCACCCCAATTATTCAGCACTGAGGTCCGCCTCCGAGGGTCTTCTGGCAATTCCCTCACTGTGAGAAGTGAAGGTACAGGGAGTCTTGAAATTTTCTTTTAGGAGATATGGGAGTTTAACAAACAAGAAAAGTGTTGATTTTTGTATCAGATCAATGTGGCAGCCTTTGTTAGCTTCTAGACTATTGGGTGTTAGATTTACTTTTAGGCTTTGGGGTGCATTTTCTCTCTCTCTCTCTCACACACACATAAACCCTGTACACTTCTGTGCAAGACAATATTTATTTCACCTCTCAACAGTTTCAGATGAAGGTGATGAGCTCCTGATCTTTTCCCACTCTGCTGCCTCTGATATTGTTTCCTCATGGATGAGCTATCTTCTCTAACTATTTTTGATGTGATACTAGAGGTCAGAGAGTGTAGCACCAAATTTCAGTGTCCTTCAGAGGTTCTTACAAATGTCTTTCTGGGGTTTTAAAATTATTGTTTGGGGCTTCAGTGGGAATTGGTCAATTCTGAAGGGGGGGGGCACTTTGTGCATGATACTGTATTTCAAAATTGGAGTTAGTTGCACATCGTATACCTAAGAAGAATTTTATCTGCATTTCCCAGTCAGTCTCCATTAGCTTCTTAATAGTGAATAATAATAATAATAATAATAATAATAATAATAATAATTTATTTATACCCCGCCCATCTGGCTGGTTTTCCCCAGGCACTCTGGGTGGCTTCCAACAAAAGATTAAAATACAATGGTCTGTTAAACATTAAAAGCTTTTCTAAACAGGGCTACCTTCAGATGTCTTCTAAAAGTCTGGTAGTTGTTGTTCTCTTTGACATCTGATGGGAGGGCGTTCCACAGGGCGGGTGCCACTACTGAGAAGGCCCTCTGCCTGGTTCCCTGTAACTTGGCTTCTCGTAGAGGGAACCACCAGAAGGCCCTTGGCGCTGGACCTCAGTGTCTGGGCAGAACAATGGGGGTAGAGACGCTCCTTCAGGTATCCTGGACCAAGGCCGTTTAGGGCTTTAAAGGTCAGCACCAACACTTTGAATTGTGCTCGGAAACGTACTGGGGGCCAATGTAGATCTTTCAAAACCAGTGTTATGTGGTCTCAGTGGCTGCTCCCAGTCACCAGAATGCAGCTGGTTAGGACTGCCAATAACAGAATTAACTTCATACAGTAAGAACTGTATTTCACCAACTGTCTGAATCTGCTGGAATATGTACGGGCACTCTCCTTTAATTTATCTTTTGTTGTAACTGGCCAATTGATTTCTCTGCTGAATGCATCCCAAATATTATGCTTGAACTACATCTCTTTTGACTTTTTTGCACTCAGCAGCCTGCTTTTATTCTAGTCCTTTTCAACTATAGTTCTACCAAAAAAAGAAAAAGGGGAAAAAAGAGGTTTTCAAAGTGGCCATCATACATTGAGTACAGCAGCAGTGTGGGAACTAGTTGCTTATAGCTTCATTCCACGCCGCTGATGTAATCATTAAAAGGTCTGGCACTATGCAGGCAGGGACCATTCATTTCTACACAATTGTCATCTCGCAATGGCAATGATCAGGTGGAAAGAACTTGCAGAACTGCTTTTTCCCCGCACAGCTATGGCAACCTATGAGGTAGGTTGCCCTCTTTTTACTAAAATGTTACTGGCAGGCAGAACAAACTCTAGGTTTACAATTGTATGCACACCTGGTCTGCTTGAGGGCAGGCCCCATTGAAATCAGTGGAACTATCTCCTAGTAAACAACTTTAGGATTAAACACCCCTTGCAAGAGCTCCTCTGCAAGGAGCAGACGCTTAATGTTTCAACATATCTGAGCCGTATACAAAAATACAACATATGAGCAATGGTGTCATAAAAACAGGGACACAACATAAAAACCAGTAAAAGAGTATTATTAAAAAACAGATTAAAAACAAGAATTCAGTCACAAAGCAGGGTCCAGATTCCACCATGCTGTAGGGCCCCTGGGTCATTCTGTAGAGTGCAGCGCCTTGCAAAAGTTTTCCCCAAAAGTGACCTTACAAGCCTATGCAAGGGCAAGTGGTCTTTGTGGTAAACTGGTCCTGAGTTGCTCAGAAACAAGACCTTGTACATGGCATACACGCTAACATTTTGGGAGAGGAAATCAAGATTCACCCACTTGCCCCCTCCCTGGCCCACCTCTATGGCCTCCTCCTCTTTTTGCAGCCTTGGGAGATGCTGTTCTGGCCAGTGCGGCCCAGGGGGAAGCCATTTTGGCCTGAGTGGCCTCTGTACCTCATCCAGCACCACACTTCCAGAAGCTTCCAGAAGTGCTGCGATGGGAGGAGGAGGAAGAATAGCAATGCACAGGGTCTAGGTAAGTTTCCTTTCCATTCATTTTTTGGTCCTATGCTCTGGTGCGAGACAACCGATTCATGCCATAGTGTGGGACAGAAAACACACACCCATATTTTGGTCCTGCACTCTGGTGTGGCCAGAGCACGGGAGCCAAAGCGGGACGTTCAGGATTGGGATGAGAGGCTTCTGTCAATCTGGGATGTCCCAGACAATTAGAGGGTAGCTGATGGGCAGCCAGTGCAGTTGCTCATCCCTGTTTTAATGCTGCAGATTCAGGAATGATTTGATGGAGTTACCTGGATGAGTGTGGAATAAGGTGGGTAGGGGCAAGCATAAAAGGTCTGAAAGTGGATTCTACATGCATTCATCTGATGGCTCATAGTTTACTGCCCATGACTGGGAGCTCTTACCTCATCTGGCTTCCTGATTATGAGGAGGATTCTAAGTGTGCTCACCTGGATGCATTTAGGATCCCATTTCTGACTAGTTTTCTCAGGGCAGGAAGGTCTGAAGTGAGCTGGGATGTGCAGGTATATGGGGAGGGGGACGTGTTCTCACTCCTCCATTCCCCCACTTGGGCCCCCATATGCATGACCGGAATACCTACTGTACTACCATCATGAGGGTAATATGTAATGGAGATGACCTCTTTTTATGGCGTTTTGTTATATTGCACAACTGCATTTTATTAGCTACTTCGAATGGCAGAAAAGTCCTTTCGATTTCTTTCCGTTCTGTTTCTAGTAGTTTCATTTGGGCTTCTAGGGGGCCAAGGCCTCTGAGGTTAAAAGCAAGATTTCCTGAATACCCTTCAGTAGCATTTTCATCGATTTTGTGGCTATCAATCTAACCAAAAACTGCCTTCTCCTGGCAATTTTGTAGTTCAGAAGTGGATAAACTCAACTTAAAAAAAACCCTGAGAACATTCCATGCCAAGCTAATGTTAATCCAAGTTAATCCAACAGGATCATATTATGTAGTCTGCCTAAGGAACACATCCATACTAAAGCAAGTCTCTATGAATCCTTTAGTATTAGTCTGCATTATAAGATATAATAGAGAAAGTTTAAACTAATGACTCACATGCTCTATGGAATGTACATATACAACTACAAATTCTCCAAATCAGCTTTGGCCGTTTTATACTACCAGTGTTGAAGCAGGAATGAAAAGCTGCATTTAGCCACACGAGGATATCCTATTAGAGTCCTGTGCAACTAGAGTACTGAGTAAATGTCATACCCCACATTACACACATTAAAGCAAGATGGATTACAGGATTTATTTCAACAATTATATAATCATATATTGGGATTTCACCTTCAAGACTTTAAGCCTGCAAATTCACGGGTGTTTTAAGAAGTATAGCTAAACATATAGATATTGCAGATTCTCTGCTGAGATGTTCATTGCTTTGTTATACCGTAAGCTCCTGAAATAGGCTTGAATGCAAAACCCACACAACGGGGGAAAGGTCCAAAGGTGTGTGTTTCTAGAATACTTACTTTCCCATGTCTCCTGGGGTGTCAAAGGAAAGAAACCTTCTTTAAAATCACTGGATATGCCCAAGTTTTAAAAATCTTGTTCTGTTTGTTTATCGCTTTTGTGTACAGTAAGTGCTCCTTATACAATTATAAGCTGTTGTTTTATAAGGAGTTTGAGAGGCATACCTAGAGATGTAAAATTTCCGGAAATTTTGAAGCCATGAGAATAAAACATACCCCCCCCCCCCGTTTTATTCGGGAATAAATGGAAAATTTGGAAAAATTGAAAAGAAGTTCAGTGTGGAGTAGTTTTACAAATTGCGTGTATATAAAAGTATTATGCTTGCAATATAACAGGTAACCACCCCCCTTTCCCTCGAAAGCAATAAAAAAGCAAGAAACCATCAACATAAATAATAATCAAATTTGCCCCTTAGCACCAACAGCAAATAAAGTTAAGGTCCACCTCAGTATTGAAGCTCCATAGAAGGTCTACCCTCTGAGTAGTGCTTTTTTAAAAAAACAGAAGGCACAACATATACATGCAGTTTATTCTATCTCATTTCTGAACTACTGCTATCATTTTTTGTTTCTTCTTCCTCTTTGTCATTTTTCTCATGGACTTCTAAAAAAGGGCTTTGGGGGAAAACAGGGAAAAACCAGTCCGTTCCCCCCAATTTTTCTGTCCCCCCCCCAGGCCTTCCCATCTCTAGGTTTACTTATCTTTAAAGAAAGGGTTGAATGGAGACAGGATAAAGTGAAACCATTTTAGCATTTCCAGAATGATGGTTTGGTGCCATGAAGAACACCTACATGCTGAAACATGTGGCACAATGGGTCAGTGCATCTGGCTGTTAACCGGAAGGTTGGTGGATCAAGCCCACACGGGGATGGCTGTGAGAGGATTATTGCATTGCAGGGGTCCCTTCCAACTCTACAATTCCATGATGTTTTTGCACTATGACTTTAAAAGCAGGAAAAGAGCAGCAAAGGGGTTTTTTCTCCTACATGATTTGGGGGCTGATGGAAGACGTGAAAGCTCAGATTAAAGGCTGGAGCAGGAAACCGTACAACAGGCCGAGAGAATGCTGGAAACTGGCACGCAGAATGGCCTAGATGACTAGTCTCTGCCAAAAAGGGAGCCACATCAAATAAAATACAGTTTAAGTAGTAGGGAAACGTTTCGTGACTTTCTCTGAAGAAGAAACAGCTTAGCCCTGTTAGGCAAAACTTCTGTAACTTTAGCCTTAGGTTTTTAAGCAGAGGTTGGGTGGCCATCCATCATGGATGTTTTAGCTGAGATTCCTGCATTGAAGGAGGCTGAACTAGATGACTCGTGGGGTCCCTTCCAACTCTACAATTGTACGATTCTTATTTTGTTGTTCAGATCCTTCACACAAGCCAGGGATCAGGACAACAAGCACCCTACCTATGCCCTCTCTGGGGCCAGCTCCAAAATACAATTGTGAGACTCAATGTCTGCAGCGGAGAGTCTTCTGCGCATGTGAAGGATGCCTATGTGATTTAAGCCAAGATCAATATAGCAAGGATACCTGCCTAACATCAATAGGCAGGAAGTTCCAAAGCACAGTTATTGCCATACTGAAAGACTGATTTCTCGATCCCTGTGCAAGTAAATATTTCCCACCCATTCATAAGGCTGCTCTCTAAAGTCTCTGAAGAGGGCTTGGGTCTATGAATTTCACATTCAGCCTCACTGAATGTGGATATTTTATCAGGATTAAAAGCAGACAGTGAGGAATGGTAGCAGATGATCCTGATTGCCTTAATTTTTCAGTGGTTACTCAATTATAAGTTTCTCTCTCCCAGAAATGCCCCTTTTTTTTGGAGGGGGAGCAACAACATTACACTTTGATGCACCAAACTGCAGAGGCTGTATACCTGTAATCCACCATCAAGCTGTAAAAACTGAATTCTAGCAGGTTTTTATGTGTATTTTTTATAATAAAAAAAAAGGAAAAGAGGGGAAAGAGATTCTCACCCAGTCTCCAAGTACTGAGTACATAATTAAAGCTGCACAAAATTACCTTTGCTGGGCTCCCAGTTGTGTTTTACTAGCAAGCCCTCAAGGACTCGCTGAACAAAGAATTTCATGTATTCCTTAGCCTTTAAATCAGACTGACAGCTATCTTTTATATTCCAGCACAATTTCTCTGCCTATTTTTCTTGTGTGAAATTCCAACTTGAAGCCAGATGAGACATCGTCTGTCTCCTTCTGTGTGTGTATTACATTATCATTTGTGAGCATTGTGGTACTTCCCTGTATTTCAATGTGATTAATGCAAATGAAGCCATCCCAATGCTCCCTCTGCCCTCATATCTTCATCTGTACCTTTGGTCTATCCCTAGCAGTGAACAGGATGAATCTCTCGAGAAGGAAGAGTGTCCTCTGCATGACCAAGCAATAGGTGACCTGTGCATGTCAGAGAAATCAGCTCAGTCTGCGGCAACCCTGGAGCAAAACTGATGCGACTCCAAGTAGGAGCCCAGACATTCTCGCCTACGGGACTCTCAGACAGATAAGCGACAGCAACGGATCATCAGCTGAAAGGAGGTAGAGGAGACATTTGCTGGAAAGGAAACATATTGAGATTTCAGAGCGATCAGTGCACTGGCTAAGGATGTAGCCTACTTCTCAAGGAACACAGTTTTCCCCATTATCTTTTATTGCTTTTCAAAAAATAAATTAAATAACAGATTTAACATCACATTAATTCAAATTTAATACCAATTTAAAAGGGACTTCCCACCCCACCATCTTTCTATTTCATTTCCCACCCTTATTAGCTGCTCAATATTACATACATTTCCAAATTACACTTCAAAAACGTAACATATTTTCGTATTCTTTCTCTGATTTATTTATTTTTTTCAATTTTCTTCCTCTTTATTTCAAGGAACAATTTTCAAAATCTAAATTTTGAATGGAATTTTTGTAAGAGTGGCAGTGAGTTGTCGTTATCCGTGATGCTAATATTTCCACACATATAACCTTCTCCTTTGACATTGCTTGGTTTCTTGCTGAACTGCAATTCTCTACCAATGGCAAATATGGCAGAAATAAAAATAACCTGCTCTTTGGCATAAAGAAACCCTGTTTGTTCTTTGTTTACACAGGGGGAGGAAGAGGCCTTGGTAAGTGATTGTGTGTTATAGTGCAGGGATGGGATCTAGTAGGGACTTCATGCTTGTCTGATCTACTTTACTTATGAACAGGACCCCAAAATCTACCAGCCAGAGCCAGCTGTGAATGACACACAGACAGCCTCTGAGCACATTCTGAGACTAGGCATTTGCTTTCAGTACCAAAACTGAGCTGAACTCACAGACTTTTCACATGAAGGTCTGCTCCCAATTTCCTCATTTCAGGAGCCTAACTGAAGTGAGGAAAGGATTTTTGTTCACCTTGCTATTGTCAAACAGCTGGAAGCCCAAACCTTGGCTGACCTGCTGAACCACCCCTCAAAAAATCTACCAGCAGACCCCGTTCTGCCCTTTTGCTACAGCATTTCTCCAATGAAAATAGGGATGTCCTATTCCATACTAAAAAAATAATAAACATTATTTATACCCTGGTCGTCTGACTGGGTTGCCCCAGTCACTCTGGGCAGCTTTCTCTCCCTCTCTCTCTCTCTCTCTTTCTATACACACACACACACACACACACACACACTAAAACATTAAACATTACAAAATTTCCCTAGACAGGGCTGCCTTCAAATGTCTTCTAAAGGTTGTATACTTACTTATCTCCTTGGCTTGGGGGTCGCATAGCTCCATACCCTCCACCATTTGCCCGATGAAAATCGGGACATCCTACCATACCCTCTAACAGTGCTTTTTTCTGGGAGGGACTCAGAGGCATGCATACCCCTAAACATTCTGTGAATCTAAGTTTGGCCTCATTGAGGGGCAGTATTTCAATATGAGTAGGAAAATGAGAGTACCCCTAAACATTCTCGCAGTGAGGGAACCACCAGAAGGCCCTCGGCACTGGACCTCAGTGTCTGGGCAGAATGATGGGGGTGGAGGCCTGGTATACACAGAAGATTCCATGGCAGCTGAAGAGCAGAATGGGTACCTTTGCTGATTATTGGGTACAGAAAGGGTTCCCTGAAGGTAGAAAGCTTGAAAGGGATGGATTAGGCTCTCCCTGTGAATGGTCATGCCAAAGTTAAGTCTCTTTAGACAGCCTGTCTTTAGACAGCCTGTTTTCCCCACAGCCACCTTTTACAATTAAAATTTACCTCATCAAACTTTTTTGAAAAAATATTATTAATGGATAGGCTGAAGCAAAGTATGACAGGAGGCATATTGTAGCGAGACACTGAAGGCATTAATAATTCATGTTTCAAGTGATACTAAAAATTGTCCTTATTGTTATTCTTGGAGTAGCAATCATTTAATTTAAGTCTTTGTTATTGCTGATTAGTAGGAGGCAGCTACTGCTCTCTCTAAGCTACCTATATTGCTTTCCTTCCTTTCATTTTTTCCCTTAAAATGGATTTCTATTTGTTCAAGAGCCATTAAACCACCCATGGCAGCTTTATTTAAGCCTTTTACCATTTAATTTTTTCTCTGGTGGGTTCCTTTAATTATGATGATTATGCTTTTATTTTTATCTGATCAGATTTCGGTACATTAAGAGCGGCTGGATGCTGCTTGTAATTTCTTAAACCTTGAAGAAAATATTGCTTGTCTAAGTAAGGCTAAGTTTAGAAACATTGATTTTCAGTAGTCACACATGAATATGCCTATACTATCCATGATTTTTAGTGGTATTCTCAGATGGAAGGCAACATATTAAAACACACCAATGCATATTTCTAAACCCAATTAAAATACCAGTACAAAATGAACTTGGCATAAGCTAAAATAACAGGATGGCATAAGAGAGCAGGCACCATACACTCAGGTCAGTTAATGACACCTCTAAAGTTCTCCCAAAAGAGGTACATCTCCATCTGCCTCCTTGAGGTGAGGCACATTTCAGTGAGGAGATCATTCTAAAGTTCTGGGGCTGCCACTGAAAAGTCCCTATTACAGGCCTCTGGAATTTTAACCACATCCATCACAGGGACCACCAGGAAGGCATCATTAGCTGATCTTAAAGACAGGCCAGGTTAGTATGAGAGAAGTCATTCTCTCAGATGTAGAATAGGCCCAGCATCCGCATGCTTAGTACAGGAGAGGACAACTCCTGATGTGAAACATCCTGATGTACCATCAGGATGAACTGATGAGGAGCCCTGACATCCTGATTCCTTGTGAAATTGTGAGTTATTGCACAGGAGAAACACACTGATAAAAAAAAAAAGGGCAGAAGTGATGCTTTTGATGAACGGCATCTACTTTCTGTTGTACCATTCTAGTAAGGACCAGACAATCTCCACTGCTACCCTCTGGATGACTTCAAGTGGATTGCTGAGCTGACAGGGATGCACAAAAGCCTGTAGACCTCTTCCTGCACCAATTACATGTAGTGCCCAGTTGACAATGAATCTGATAAAAGCTGGGTGAATTGTAAGACATCCCGAGGATGTCCTCTAAATTAGGCTAGGCATTTATGGATGAAGAATGACAGCACATAGTTAACCTATGGAATTTGCTTCCTCACTCAATTAGGTGAATTTTTTAAAGTCACACCATTTTGCCTTAGAGGATGGTAAGTCAAATAACTCTATTGGGTAGAAGGCAAACTGCAGTGGAACTGCTGCATGGGACAAATGTAAGGTGGCATGGAAAAGGGTGTCTTCTCTTACATCGCTAGCTGACAATGATGGGCCCAAGGGCATTTGATGAGCTTTTATGGCATGAGGGGTGGGAGAAGGAGAAAGGTTCACAGTCCTTCTTGAGCTTTGGTGTGTGTGTGT